AATTTTTCTCTGCTACGAAGTTGGCCAAATGTAATTCAAGCACGGCAACTTCTTTCAGTGTTTCGTCTGGGGGAAAGACTTTTTGATCAGAGACTTTTCGAAGTTAAGTTCCCACAGCCCGCTTCTGAATCAGCTAAGCTCGAAAGCTTTGGCAGTTTAATGTAGTGGTTTCCTTCGTTTTCTGTTCACTTTTGGAGGGAGCATTGTCTCATACTTGTATCTTCCAGACATCTGTGGTCTCCCCTCCCCCCGAGTTTGTGAGTGGTGAATGAAGAGAGACTGGGCTGCTGGTATGCGGAGGTCGGCAAAAGGAAATCGAGGAGTGGTTTTAGTGAAATGAGAGCTTTGTATCATGAATAGTGGTGGCTTAGACTAGACAGCAACTTGAAGAGACGGCAGCGTTTCTTTTGATAAAGTCTAGGCTCATGTTTTTTAGATTGCTAAGTTAGAAAAGTATTTTGCCGGGAAATTAGGAAGCCATTTCACTATTTGTCACTTGGTGACATTCATGCCTTCAGAGAAGTTTTCTTGTTGCCTTATCATCCCAAGAAGGTAATAGTAGATAAAACTTGAAATGCTAATTAAGGTGTCCTGCTGTTTACTCCCTGCTTAAATGAGTGACCAAGATGTGTCGTTTGGAATCTTTTTTTTTTAAGTGTGAACTAAGTCTGCTGTTACGTTTATTTTAATTTACGTTTAAACCCACAAAACCTCTGGATTAAAAAAAAAAGTACCATCAATGTTTGTTTGAGACTGTCTTTTCACACTAGACAAAATTTGATTAATTTGCACTCAATATTCATTAATTTGACCTAGCCTTTGTTCTGAAGGCCATGTAGAAGGACAAGGCCCTAAACTGATTGCAACAGTAACTGAAGAACTTGAAAAACTTGCAGAAGACTGTTGTATAGGATTAAAGGAGGGCTGAGACTATTCAAGTCTGAAGTCCTTGAGGGGGAAATAAAAAACTGACTGCACAAGAAATCTTAGTATAGCATGTGACTTAGAGTCCTTGTGGAGTCCTAGGCCTGAGAATCTTCCAGAGGCCAGAACAGTCATTTTTAGATAGTTGTCAGGGAAAACTAATACTTATTTTTTCATATGGTAGCTAACAAAAAGTAAAGCATTTAACAATGTACAGGTGTCAAGAAGCAGTCAAAAGAGTTTTTTGTTTTTTTTTTTTAGTTGTTACCTGATGACTTCACTTACCGGGATTACTATGTAGAAAAATTTATATTGCAGTATTAAAACTTACTGAACTTTGAATTGAGCTTTCTACGGTTCTTAGTGATGACTGGAGTAAAAATTGTCATAGATGGAGTTTCATATGCTTGTTTTCATGGATCCTATCCTCTAAGAAGGAAAAACATGAAGTAGGCAAGTTTCTCCAGACGTATTTTGAGATGTTTAGCAAAACTGTCTGTGGATATCTTTTTTGTTTGTGTGATGGGGAAGGGGCATGATAAGCTGAATGTTGAAACTAGGGATGTGGAAAAATCTAAAGTTTGAATATCATTCTTAAATGGTTGTAAGTAGCAGTGAAATTAAACACCAGAAGTGGACTGTATAAGTATATTCATCTAAATGAAATTTTTGTGTTATTGAAATGAAACAATGCATCTGTCCAGTTATGATTTTCTCTTTCCTGACCTACTAGTTGCTGATTATAATTATAGATGGGTAGGTGGTAAATTTTAAGTTGGTACTTTGAGCTTGGTTCCCAAGGTGGAAAGAATGAATGCTATTAGAGCAAGACAAACTTCCAGTAAAACGTATTGGCAACTATTTTGTGGTGCTGTATGTTGACTTGTAACATTGTTTTTGAAAACATTACTTGTATTAAGTTGATTGTTTTCTTATAGCCCTTTTCTTATTGAGACTGTGGTATTTACTGTTGAAATAGCTTGACTGAAAACACATCTATACCATAAAAGTAAACAGTAAACATGGACTAGGATCTGCTTCTGAATTATTTGCCCAGAGCATTTAGCTGTTGCCTCTTTTCCCTTCATTGGGAGGGTGTTGATTTGCAGAATCAGTTCTATTTCTTTACTTTAACAGACTATTTTTTATGCAGTATTGTTCTAATGGTGTGATAAACAACTAGGTTAATAGGCACAAATAAATAGTGCTTCTCAGGTTTCACAAAAGGAAGATAGATAGTTAATAAACATGGGATTTGTGTTTGAAAATGAGTAGGCATTAACTCATATAGTTTTTCATTTCTTAAACTCAGGAGAAAGTTCTGTATTTCCTCTGTTTACTTAATACTGCTTTTGTGTTTTGTGCAAGACTGAGCTTAACTCACTTTGAAACCTGGATTCATCTGTTGAGCTTGAACCCTGCTGTCCTTGAAGTATGTATGTAATCTCCTTTTCCCTAAGGACAAAACTAAAGAGAGAAAGTTACATTAGAAACTCATTTTTAGGGTTTAAACCACCTTTTGAACTTGTTCATGTTGGCTAAATGTGGACACCTCTTCTTTTAAGAGCCATTCCCCACCCCTAAAATCCCTCTTAAACCTGAAGCAGCAGAGAGTAGCATTAGTGCGTGTTTTCATTGTATCCTTTGGTCATGCTGAGTGCCCTCCAGTGGATACAGTATAATGCTTGCGATTTTTTTTTTTTTTTTTTTTTTTAATTCCAGCAAGTTTGTGTAGAATATAGTTGCAAGTAGCTCTGATGAGAAAGTGTCAAGAAACCTTTTGAACTCTAGAATAATTTATTCATATCCAGACTGCTCGTTAAAAACCTGGCTTAAGAAAATGTCCCTACTTCAACCAGTATTTGCAGGAGAAAGGTCAAAATTGCAATTAGAGAGTTTTATTTAGGTCACTTTAAATAGGCAGTTCTGCTTAAATATATTTTAATGATAAACCAAAAACTCAATATAGTATTTTAGGGGATAAAAGATTATAATGTGTAGTCACATTAATGAATTATAGCAACTGAAATTCTCAGAAAAAGTTAATGAAAGGAATTGTCAATTTGAAATCAGTTATACCTTAAAACATAAGTAAGTGCTCAACTCAGTCATTTATATATTATCAGGAACAAGGCTTCGAACTGGTTCCTTCTGGGTTCCAAACCCCTGCTGAGAGCTTGCTTTCTAACAAGTTCCCAGGCCATGCTAATGCTGCTGGTTAGGGACCAATTCTGAGAACCACTAGTAGAGAAATGGTTCTCAAAATTTATTATATGTAAGAATCAACTGGGAATGATAGTTATAATGGGGATCTTGTTAAAATGTATATTCTAATTCAGTATATCTGGGGGTGGAAATACAAATTCTCAGCAGAGGTTCAAACTAGACTGAACCAGTTCAAAGCCCTGATCAAGAAATAATATACCTGTGTTAGGAACTAGATAGGAATGAAACTAGTTGAGTCAACATATGTGAACTAGAATATAGTGCTCTAGTGACTGTAGGGCCTTATACAGAATTGTGTGATGTAGTATACCAATATCTTGACCTTTAACTTTTTCAATAAGGTCTTCTCTCTAGGCTCCTATGTTAAATTTCATGCTGTATGCATTAGTAACATTTTCTGAAAATAACTTGTTTCAAATCAGAGTCTGATTAGCTAATTCCTGTTATTTAAAGTTTAAATTAGCTTTTGGAAGTCAAATGATCAGTTTATGGAAAATTCTCAGTTAAGAGTTTTAACTTTGTTTTCCAAAAGGTGTGGTTGAAATGAAATAAAAATTGACAGTAGTGAAGGAAAATGACAATATCCTTCATTGCTTCACTTTGCCTTTGGAATTCATTATAATTTTGTGGAAACATTGATGTGATTTTTGATTACTTAAAAATGTATCTAGGGCTTTTTTTTTTTTTTTTAAGCAAGAACGCTTTAATTGCTTTATATGTTAAAAATTTTTTTTTCCCAGAATGGATTAAGTGTTCCTCCATAAAGGATCATATTTGGAATTAGTGATACCCAAGTTGATGCTTGGTATTACATTTACTGTCGGTAAAGTCAAATAGCTTCTGTTCCAGTTTTCCAACATTTTTATGAGAAATGAGGGTAAATACAAAAGTTCTTTTAAAAATTATGCGTATATAGCTTACTGAAAAAACATTTTCTACCTGTTAGGGACTTAAACTTTAGTTCTTGAAAGTGGCTACTTGTCTTCATTAAGATGGCATGCA